TGTTGGGTGTGCAAACCCAATCCCACATCGGAAAATTAATGGTTTCCAAGTCAATATATAAGCTTAGTGGGCTACTCCCTCTATTGCCAATTGGTTTTAGAGTGGAACCTTATTTGGGCTTATATGTTGGGCTTGATGGAGAACTGGGTTTTGAATTGTTGAACCTAACACAATCTGCATTAAAAACAGTACCTAAACCCTTTTCCCAACGTGCATTTCATGTATAAAAAATAGGGAGGTGATACGGTCCGTTACGGAACCATTCCGTCAGATTTTGTAACCGTTAGATTAATTATTTCTGACGGTTACATGATAATTTAACCCTTACAAACCAGACGGAATGATTTCGTGACTGTAACATTTTCTTAAAAAATAATATAAATGACATTATTAATGTAATTATTATATTTTTATTTACAAATAAAATATTTAACTGATCTAGTTCAACAACCCACGTACACCTTTAGATGCACATGGTACAACACATGTGCCCGTCAAACTGTCTCAGACAATCACCACCCACCCATCATAGAAAGCCAGAGCCTCCACACCGTTGATCAAACCTCTAAACGCCAGCTGGCACCATCTCGTTCTCATGGGGCCCACCACAGAGAGCGGGTCATTCGGATCCGATTCTATATATACCCGCGTTTGAGCTCAGATTCATTTGCGCTCTGCTCTCTCATCTCCTCCATTTTTGCTCTGCAGATCTGAAGCTTGGTTTGATCTCTACCAGAAGGTAAGGACGATAAAATAGCTTTGATTTTTATATTCTCCTTTCGCTTTTGTTGAGATCAATGAATCGGCATTGGTATGCGCATTGTTTTGTGGTCTGTGTGTCATTTGATTGGCTTTTCGTTTTTCGAATTGAAATTTGAATGTTGGTTGATTTTGCACGGTTTCATGTGATTTTTTTGGTTTGAAGTTGATGATGCGGAGTAGAATTATTGAACACGAAATGTTTTCATATGGAAATGGCATGAACAACGTTTGAATCTGATTGATCTGCCTTCATGCGATTCAGATCTCGTTGAGCATTTCTTCTAATGGGTTCTGTTGGGTTTTCGTTTAAGGATCTACTTTGCGATTATCCCATTAGTTGATTTCAGATTAGATCATTTAACCATATCTTTTTAGATCTGTATTTTTTTTTAACATATCCTGAGTTTTTGATTGATTTCTGTTTCACGGGTAGATACAAGCTTGTCATTTTGTTATAGCAAATCTGCGGTATATAAAAGAGGGAGATGCTACAGTCTCGTTACGGAACCATTACGCCGGAGTTTGTATGGTTCCGTAACTGGATCGTAGCATTTCCGTATAAAAGAATGTGTTTATTTAGCTGCCAATAATATTCCTTGTTTTCATTCATCAATATAGAATATGGGTGACTGATACACAGTTTCCTTTTATAGCAAATCTTCTGTATAAGAGAATATTGTATCTGTGCTGCCAGTTTTTTCTTTTCCTGGTTCTCATCAACAGAGAGTTAGCAAATAACACATGTTTCATCCAATTCTATTCCAAAATCTTGCTGTTTGAACTTATTCAGAATAAGTGAAGTGCTTTAGTTTAGATTCACAACCTAATTTCACACATTACAAACGCATCTCCAGATTCAAAGAAAATGGACACATTCCTCTTCACCTCAGAGTCGGTCAACGAAGGCCATCCCGACAAACTCTGTGACCAGGTCTCGGATGCCATCCTCGACGCCTGCCTCGAGCAGGACCCGGAGAGCAAAGTCGCGTGCGAGACGTGCACAAAAACAAACATGGTCATGGTATTCGGCGAGATCACCACAAAAGCCAACGTCAACTACGAAAAGATCGTCCGCGACACTTGCCGAGGCATCGGCTTCATCTCCCCAGACGTCGGCCTCGATGCCGATAACTGCAAAGTCCTCGTCAATATCGAGCAGCAATCTCCTGATATTGCTCAAGGGGTCCACGGCCATCTCACCAAGAAGCCCGAAGAGATTGGGGCCGGTGACCAAGGCCACATGTTCGGTTACGCAACAGACGAGACTCCAGAACTCATGCCGTTAACTCATGTCCTCGCCACAAAGCTCGGGGCGAAGCTAACCGAGGCTAGAAAGAACAAGACTTGCCCGTGGCTGAGGCCCGACGGGAAGACACAAGTCACTGTCGAGTATAAAAACGAGAACGGGGCAATGGTCCCGATTCGGGTCCACACTGTCCTCATCTCGACCCAACACGACGAGACGGTCACGAACGAGCAGATCGCGGCTGATCTCAAGGAGCATGTGATCAAGCCCGTTATCCCAGCCCAATACCTTGATGAAAACACAATCTTCCATCTGAACCCATCGGGCCGATTCGTGATTGGAGGCCCGCATGGCGATGCGGGCCTTACTGGCAGGAAGATTATCATCGATACTTACGGTGGGTGGGGTGCTCATGGTGGTGGGGCTTTTTCCGGCAAGGACCCGACTAAGGTGGATAGGAGTGGAGCTTACATTGTGAGGCAGGCGGCAAAGAGTGTTGTGGCCTCGGGGCTTGCTCGGAGGTGCATCGTGCAGGTTTCGTACGCGATTGGTGTGGCTGAGCCGCTCTCGGTTTTTGTGGATACGTATAAGACGGGCAAGATTCCGGATAAGGATATTCTGGGTTTGATTAAGGAGAACTTTGACTTCAGGCCCGGGATGATTGCAATCAATCTTGACTTGTTGAGGGGAGGGAATTTCAGGTACCAGAAGACTGCAGCTTACGGGCACTTTGGACGTGATGATCCAGATTTCACCTGGGAGACAGTGAAGGTACTGAAGCCTAAAGCTTGAGTTTTTGTTGGGGTTTATGTGGAGAAATGACTTATAGTTTGGGAGATTAATAAACAAGTTTATGTTGTATTTGTTTGAGTTTATTATCATATTTTTGCCTCTTGATTTGTCTTTTTCTCTTTCTTTCTTTTTTCTTTTTTCTCTTTAATTCCATTTTTCTCCCATACATATCAGTAGTATGGTGTACCACATTAAATGATTTGATGTTATTTTATGATTTCTGAACTTATCAATATATGTTCTGTGTTATTTGTTTTGTTTTGTAAGGTTTAATTAACACTTGCATTACTTATATGTTTGGATTGAGGAATTTATTCAACTGACTTGAAATTTATAGATTTCAAATTTACAAGTTCAAATCCCCGTGCATGTTCCGATAATAAAAATAGTCGGATACAAGTAGCTCGACTCTTTTATAAGATATTTCTCAGTTTTACAAGTTCAAATCCCTCAATCCCCATTACTTACATATCTTATAAAAGAGTGAACATTTAAAATGCAAGAGCTCGTATACAAGGGTTGTACCAAGTGTACCCGATTCCAATGCAAGAGCTCGTATATAATGGTTGTACCAAGTTGCTAGTACAGTGACAAACCTGTAATGAAAGGGCAGATTCGAATAACTGCCACACAGCACGAAGAGAACAAATTTTGCAATTCGAAATGTAGCCAAGGCATGACAAATTTGAGTCGATAACGAAACATATATTTATTAGTTCACATTCGTAAAAGTACCTATGAGAGTTTCATGGCTGGTTTTTCTTCAAGCTGACAAAATTTTCGTCATTGTTCACGAAATCGTTAGCTTTTTCCATAATAATATAGAAAGAACTACACCTGTTGGCTCAAGTATACTGAACATTTTTCCTAGTATTCATGTTGTATATTTCCTTTTCAATTTTTTCCTCCCACATTCTTTTCTCTCACTAAAAGCTTCTCCAACGACTCGTTTCGTTGCAACATTTCATGTACTTTGGTCGACTTCAGAAAACACGCCGGGATGAAACTTCCGGCCCAATGCTTCAACAGCAGCATTAATTCTCTTTATGTCCTGCCCAAAATAATAATAATAATAATAAATAAATAAATAAATAAATAAATAACTCGTATTTCATGACAACCCATTTCAAGTACCGGATTCTAACCAATTACACATTCTAAAGCTAAAGTTACTTGCCTTTCCATCAAAAGTAATGATCAGAGGACCTTGTCTCGATTCCCGATAACACCCTACACACAAAAAAAGAAAAAAAGGCGATGATCGGTAGCACAGCAACAAAATAAAACACCTCAAAAGTCACGTAATGAAAGAACCAGAAATATTTCTTACCGATGAATATATCTGGAAATTCAAATCGAATTTCCGAAAGGGGTTGAGAAGCTTCCACCTGTGCATCATATATGCAAAACTATTTAGTTACAGTGAAGTGCATTTTTTGTTATTTATGACTTCTTCTTTTTTTCCCGAAAAAAGGAACAATTTTGCCAAAACTCACGTCAGAAAGATTTGATGCTGCCAGTTTTTTGGACACGAACGGTTCACTCATTTGTTCATTGAATCTTATTAACTCAATCAAGCAATCCCACTCTTGGTCTAGCTCGGCTACATTTGTTGCCGTAAGAATTATCACATTTTGGCACTTGATCTATGAAAACAGATAAAAAAAAAAGTTAAAGACGATCGATAATATTCCACTTTTCAGATATAAAAAAAAAGAAACTGAAAGGAAATAGAAAAATGGTGTTAATCTTCGGACAAAAGATTCTGACACGCAACAATACTCACCAAAGGCACGTTCAGTTTCTCATGATGCAACAATTCGGTGATCCCTTCAGGCAAATGAGCCATCTAATAAATTGAAAACAGACAAAATCGACAGTCACTACTGGTGGTAATAAATAGTATAATATCATATGCCGAGCAACCTTTTTTTTTCTCAAAATTTATCTCACACAAAAAATCCTTAATTGACAATATTGAAACTTTTGTAACGGTTTAAATTATATGCAATTAAATTGAAAATCACCTCGTTTCGATGTCCAGTGCACTTTTCTCCAATGAGATGCCTTAAATATTCCTCAAATTCTTCATCGGGAGCCTAAATTTCAGAAGTATTTGGTGAACTATTCAGATGTCTCGAGCCAAAAATAGAATATTATTCTTTAGAAAAAAAATGTGAAAAAATTGTACCATTCGGACACCAAAAGCCTTAGCGACACCAGCTATGGTGACATCTGATGGTAATGGACCAACACCTCCATATGCAAAAACCTGCAGTAAAGCTCACAAATTGTAATACTGCCATAATAAAACTTGAAAAAAAAAACATTGAAAATATAGAATGTTT